ATTGGCATGAATAAAGTTTTCCTGATATAACCAGGGCCTTCGTGGAAGTGTTTCCACCTGGGAAAGAGGCTCTAATCCAGCAGATGCTAAGGTTGAGGAGACAGAATGTACAAATTCCACATGTGAGCTACTAATGATGGTGAGATGCTAATCCCAACCCTTCGTTTCCTGGACCTGTGTCTTTGTTCCCTGATCCATACATATCTGTTGGGGGCACAGCACTATACAAGAGTGCTTCAGAAAGTTTGTAGAAAAATAGAATTAAAAGATAATATAAATCATTCCACAAACTTTTTGAAGACCTCTCACATTGAGTTTTGATTCAGTGCACACATCCCAACACTCAGGATACTGTCCTAGAGCCGGGACCTTAGCTAAGCCTTTAAGAGGCCATTCCACTTCTGGGTGTTGTGGATATCAGAGAAGCAGTGGATCCCATAGCAATCCACACACCTCCATACCTTTGTCACTATTAAATGGGTTTCTTGACCAGCAGTGTTACACACGATCCCATGTTGGTAAATTTAGCATTCTCTAAGCTTCTGGATAGTGATGCCTGTGACACTAAAGATGGTGAAGGCAAACCCATATCCAGAGCAGGTGCCAAGTCCAGTAAGGATGAATCAATGCCTTCTCCTGAGCAGAAAGGATCAGCTGTCACCAACCTGCCACTTGGTGACTATTTGGTACCCTCTAAGGATGGTACCATAGCAGGGGCTCAGCATTGATCTCGGCCGCTAATAGGTCAGACATTCAGCAGCAGTAACAATTAGATAAGCTTTGATAAGAGAGCCTGTGTTGGTGGTTTTTACCATGGCAACTCCACTCATGGGCCCACTGTATGAGCACAGGGTAGTCAAGAACAGAAGCTGGCTGACACCATCCCATCCATCCTGTTGTTCAGTGACTTCTCTGCAAAGGGTATTAACACATGACACAAAGATGCACATGTTGGGGCCAATCCCACAAGTCCATCTTCTTCCAGACCTCCTTGTCTCCAATCCTCCCCTCCTGCTCTTTCCAGGTCCCTGACCAATCAGCAAGACACCTGTCACAGCCCAGAAGCTCATATGCATTCCTCCCTCCATACAAATGCATATCCAAGTGTAGTGCTTAAAGCTCTGCCCCGTGGAGGATTTCCCCTCATTACTATCCTTTACAGCCACCCTGAATGGGACTATAGTATAGCAGCGGTTCATTTTCAGTTCATTATCAACCCACCATGCTGACCCATGTGTGAACCAGACCTGAATTATTTTGTCTACTAAGAGAGAGGCATCGGTGCAACAAGGTAGGAGATGTGGGGCTGCAGACACACCTTCCTGTTAATGACTGTTGCCCTCTGCACAAGCTTGGTTCTAACCCCATGGATACCTTCTTCATTATATGAGTTGCTACTGAGCCCACCTGACCTATTGACTTGGTGGACCTGAAAATATCTAGCTCAGGACAGGCAGATTCTGTCATACAGTCATTCGATGCCCCATAATCAGGCGCTCAGTCTCTATTTGGGTCTGGTATCATGCCAGACATGGTTTTCACTTGGAGAGTAGTTCTCCACTGCAGAAGGCATGGTCTTGATCGAAACCCTAAGAAATTGCACTGCAACTCTCTTGTTGGGGTTTGCCAGAGATGCCACACAGGGTCTTTATCTACCACCAATAAGCCCAACCCCAACCCACTGGTTCTGCTAGATGGCAGAGAAGGCCATCCTCCAACCCAGAAGGAGGAGGAGGAGAAGAGTCCTCTTTCTCTCTGGGACCCACTCAAAACCAGCAGCTTTCCAAGTTACCCAACAAATGGGTCAGAATGGTATTCCCAAGTGTGGTACGTGCTGACTTCACATTCATGTACACAGTACGTGTTCCAGAGGAGCCTCCTTCTCTGTGATACGGATGCAAAACACACGAACTTGTCCTTACCTTAGAGGTGATGCCCTGGCTTGCCCTAAAACACCACACCCCTAAAAACTTCATTGCTGTGGCAGGCTCCAGAACTTCTGAGGGTTTACCTCTCATCCTCTGACATGACTGTTTTACCACGTTCAGAGTATTTCCTTCTTCATCATGTTCAGTTAGTGTGACGTCATCAACCCTAGGTGGAAAGTCCAGACGATAAGGTCCCTACAAACTATATTGTGACAGAAAGGGAGAGTTAACACAGCCTTGAGGCAAGCAATGTATATGGCAGTCCTTCCCCTAGAACCGTAAACTGCTTTTGATCCTCTTACCAATGTGAATTGAAAAGAATGTCCACCACATCAATAACCTCAAGTGCCAGAGGTGCAGCAATCAGTTCCAGCAAAGATACCGCATCTGGCACAGCTGCTGTGATTGGGGATCCTACTTGGCTAAGTTTGTGGTAGTCTGCCATCACTTACTTGAATCCAGCTGAATTTTGCAATGGCAATTCAGGTGAATTAAAGGGATGAAATGGTGACCACCACTTTAAGTCTGTGGGTGACAAAATCTCTGCAATTCCACCTGGAATGCAGTATTGTTTCTGATGACTATCTTGGAAGGTTTTGGGTGGAGCAGAGAGTTTCAGGGGCTTCTACTTTGCTCTTCCTACCATATTGTTCTTATTCTACAGGTTAGGGATCAACATAAAAGCTCTGCCCATGCTAGGTATAATCATCACAAGTTTGCACAGGTACCAGAGAAGTAATCACAGGACTTGGGTCAGGACTCATTTATCATCTGATTTCCAAAAGCCCCACTCTAAGTGGAGGGTCATGATGCTTCACATGCCCTGGTATAAATGTCAGCTAAGATCCTGTATCTAACAGCCCTTGAAAGGTACGGATAGTTACTTTTCCAAAGTAAATTACTTTGTTCAGTGGCTCCTTTAGGGAGGGATTGGAAGAATATTTTGGGTATATATTTACGGTGGCATTGCAGGATCCTTCCTCAAAGAGACCAAGCCTCCCTTTCAATTAATGGACTCTAGGTCTCAGCACTAGCTCAGATTTAAATAAGGAGTGAAGGATCATGATTCTGCAGTTAACAGTCTTCTGATCACCGGTTCCTGATTTCTTACTGGTTATTCAAATTTTAAAAACTCTATCGGCTGCCACCTCTTTTACCTCGAAGAATACCATGGTCTGATAGACACTGCCACAGATGCCCTCCTGGCTGCCACTTGCCCTCAGTGTGAGGTGAGTCTGAGGTCTCCGAAGTGCCGAGGGGGCCGAGGAGACACGAGGCAGCCCCGGGTGCACGCTCCGCGGGGTGACCTGAGTCTTCGCCGTTCTAGGTCTGCGGCACAGAGGGGTAGTGCAGTGGCGCACAAGGACGTTCGTTCCGAGCAGGGGAAGGAGCCTCACGTTCAGAAGTGCACTTGTATTGTGGTGAGGGACTTACGGCACCTGGAGTCACCGGAACTGTCCCTAGGGTCCCATTCTTTCAACTAATGTTTACTGGGCACCCACCGGCTGCCCCCGCACTCGCGGGCTCTCTTCCCTTGCCCTACCCCCCAGGGACGGCGGAAGGGAGCGAGAGGAGAAGCCGCGTCTGAGCCGCAGCCACCGCCCCGCCGCTCCCCGCGGTGACGGCCCCAGCCCCGGCGCCCTCCTGAGGTACCTGTGCCTGCGCCCCCTACGTGACGTGCTCANCGCGCCTCGTCGCTGTCGCGGGACGCCGAGCGCCGAGCCTACCAGTGGTGCCGGGAGTACCTGGGCGGGGCCTGGCGCCAAGTGCGGCCCGAGGAGCTGAGGGTTTACCCCGTGAGGTGGGAGGTCAGGGGTCAGCCTCTCCTGTGCGCGGGCGGTGCTCGGCCTCGGGGCCCTCGGGACACCTCCTAACTTTGCATCTGCGTTTGCCGGCGCCTGGGCGGGGCCGCGTCTCACGGGGTTGGGGGCGGAGACAGGACGGGGGACCGCGAAGGGACGGGGTGGGGCCAGGGCAGGGGGGGCGCGAAGCGGCGGAGCCAGGGCAGGGGGC